TCTACGATTACAATTCGTTTGTATTGTTCTAGAAATGTTATATTTAAAGAAGTACCGTTACGATAAAGATACTAATTTGGCCGGAAATGTTTTGCGGGTCTCTGCTAGTCAATAATTACTGTAATAAAAAATGATTTCCCATTTCAAATTTTTGGACTTTCCTCTCCAAACAGTAATGTACCAAAAAATGCCATACAGAGTATTATAGATTCGCAGCCTCTTAGGTATTGTAGAGTATGTAATAATGTACAGTTCTTAATATCTAACATAAATATATTTGTACAAACCTGATTTTTAATGGCTTTGATGAAAAAAAACAACAACCTTGATTAAATATTTTAACTTTTAATAAATATAAAAATTATTTATATAAACTTGAAAATAATGATTTACACAAAATTATGTACAATAAGAATAATTTCTAAAGTTTATTGTTAAGGAAATAATTTGAATTACTTATTGGACATTTCATGTCTTATGTAGGTGGACTAATATAATTATATCACATTCCCTATATAAGACCTGCTACTGTATGGATCTCTTTAAAACCATTGAAGATCCAGATAGAAGGATGGGATCTATACTAATAATTTAGGTTGTACTTACTATAGTAATACCTTAACATCTTGGTATTTATGGCGCTGGAATGCTATCTTCAAGGAGAGTTTTCTTGTCTCCCCCATTGATGTCTTTTATTCTATTATTTCTTTCTGTTTATTATTATTATTATTTTATTTTTATGAACAACCACCTTCCCACATCTGGCTGCAGACAACGAATGGTGGTAAAGGTGTGGGACGTTGTGGACTAGAGCATCCACATCTGGCTACAGACAACGAAGGATAGTAAAGGTGTGGGACGTTGCGGACTAGAGCACCCACATCTGGCTACAGACAACGAAGGATAGTAAAGGTGTGGGGCGTTGTGGACTAGAGCATCCACATCTGGCTACAGACAACGAAGGATAGTAAAGGTGTGGGACGTTGCGGACTAGAGCACCCACATCTGCTCCATTTTTTTCTTAAGCATGTGAGGCCGACGAAGTTGAGGTTAAACTGAAAATACCATGTACCCCCCCAACGCAATGTGAGGCTTACTTCCGACAGTACGTCAAAAAAACCAGAGCATAAGAACCCACCTGTTGATTTGTTCCCCGGAGTTGGGTGTTTGTTTTTTGGGTATGATGGATAAGATTCGCTCTATCCTTCTTTTTGATGTATTCTCTTCTTTTTTTTTATTTTTAGCTTTCCTAAACATATATACACACTTCAGTTTTATGTTTATATGACCTTATGTATATGTATGTACATGTAAATATATATATAACCCAGTTAGTATTTATATAACTCTGTACCTGTATATGCAGTTCTTTGTAACTGAAACGCCTTTCTCTGTGTCCTTGGAAAAATGCAATCTGAATGAGGTCGATTACTTTTGTTTCTTGTTCTCCTTTAACACCTGAAGTATAGCCAATGTTGTCCTTTAACTGTGATAGACGGACAGATCTCGAAGTTGCTGTATTATTCTAAGTATGAACACTAGCTGTATTGTGAAATCCTAGGGCGAGAAAGACACAGAACCTTCTTAAACTGAATGTTACACCAAACAAAGCGTCGTTCAGCACCTCGGTAAACATGTTTTAAAGGTCAAAACAACAGCGTTGTAGCAGCTGAAAGTGGAAATAAATTATCGTAACTGTCACAAACCCACCAAACTGTTCTCTTCAATAGTTTGAGCATGCGCCGATCAGCACGATTGATCTTAGCTTGTTCAAATTGAAATAAAAGTAACACCTCTGACGTCATCAGCGTATTTAGAATAAAAACCCCTACTGCTACTCGACAAGGGTCAAAATGACTCACCTCTTATGATTTGTAGTGAAACTGCTGTTCCTTTGTTTTTCCTTGACTTCACTAACACAATTAAACTTTGATAGGCCAATTTCGAACGAAGTTGAAGACTCGTAGTAAATATAACGATTGTTATTAAGAGACAAGTACTGATTAAGGATCGTAGATAGACGTAAAATACTTGAGACTTTCATAAAAATAATTTTTCATCATTTGACTTTTCTCATAAAAATATCTTTCTGAAGAGAATTTTTAAACATTTGGTGATAATGTGTTGTTGTTTTTTGTACTAAGTTTCGGAACTTGTTTCGAGGAGAGCATTACACATGTGTAAGTATAAAAATGTGTGTTTGTTTGTTTATTGTTAAACTCAAAGCTACGCAGTGGGCTATCTGTGCTGTGTCCACCATGAGTATCGAAACCCGGTTTTTAGCGTTGTAATCCTTCAGACTTATCGTTCAGCCATTGGGGGCAAATAAAAATATTCTGTAACAACAATGTCCTCATTATTATTATGTTATTGTTGTTTCAACTGTGTATTTGAGAACAACTTTTATTTAAACTAGCATAAAATATTTGCACTTCATTGTGGGGTTCATAGCCTCCTTACAATTCACAGAGGCCCCAATGTACCGATTAAGTTCCTTTATTATTTCTAAATGCTTCTATAGCTACCCCAAAAGTGCTTTTCGGACACTCGCTAGTGGTACTTGAGCACGTGTGCTATGTTTGGGCCCGTTAGTTACTGAGTGGGGGGGGGGGGGGGGGGGGGGTAGTGTCAACACAGTTTCACAAATGGTACCCCCGGGATCTCAGAGGGACCAGAATCCTAAAGTCCGATGCCATATTCGAATTCAGAGACCTTGTTTATCTTCTTTTAGACTTCCATCATGCCTAGATGATCTCCTTCCGTGGTAGGGGGGAGGGAGGCTGTCATATATATATATAATGATATTTTTCTGAGCCACCTGCCAAGTTTGGTATCACTAGCTTCAAAACTGTGGGAGGAGTTCGCGGACAAACAAATAAATAAATCCACAAACATGCTTTGTGAATTGAATATACGATATGATATAAAACTATACTCGACCATTAAAGATTCCCTTTTGTCTCAAATCGAACATCATTGATATTTTGAACAATCTTTACAGGTGAGGTACACAGTCAATTTATTTTTACAAAGTTTGATATACTGTTTATTTCAAAGTTTCATAATTTGTACAAAATAAGATAGATCTAGCGAATTTTATCATTTTCAGTTTGCACTTTGCTGCCATCTGTTGACTTTAATAACAATTATAACAAATAGGATAATTTTGCGTAGTTTTTGGTTTACATTTATGTTATCACTAAAGAAACTAGCAATCATCTATTTTTATTCAAAATTTAATTATAGAATAAAAAAAATACCAATAATAACTCCATTATCGTTATCTAGTAGTCGTAGCAGTTCATAGATGGCAGAAAAGCAATGAAACTTATTTAGAATTTAGGCAGATCCCTATTTATTGCAGCTTTAACATGAATTTTCCATGCATAGATCTCGATCTTTGTAATATAGGCCACAAGCCTTTCTATAACCTAACGGCTTAAATAAAAGAAAACAAAAAGTTTGTTCTGTAGAATTTTTTATATAGCATAAAATAAGCGGATCGCGTAAAGTATTAAAAGAAAGGAATACACATCTCCTTCACTGCTTAATAACTACGTCAATAAAGTTTTGTGTAAGGAAATAGTTTGGCAAGAAATTAAATACATTGGTGACTGATTCACTTATGAATTTCAAGTTGGCTATCACTTTCTTCTGTCATAGTTATAAAACATTGTTTTTTGGTTAGAATCTCAGTAGAAATGTAGTTACGTTAATGTAAAATATATACAGTTGAAAACTGGTTATAGACTCGCATAAAACACTATAAACAAAATATGAACAAGTTTTAATTGTGTTAACAATTCTCTGTTTGTTAAAATTACTTGCGATATGTATGATACTTAATTACATGTATTCAAGTTTCCGCCAGAGGAGGTACACGTTTTTGAAATTTATTGTCTTAAATGAAAAGCTACTAACGCTCTTATTTTTCCCAGTATTTCTCAGGATGGGCCATTGTACAAGCAATATACACAGTTCAAACTATTGATGATTTTATAAGTAACAGAAAGCAATATTTTCTATTAATAAGACCAGTATGTGTTTATATTGAAAGTTGTTTATATAAGAAACAGTTTTTTTTTCGTTTTTTTCTGATGCCAAGGTCATTTATACTGTGCCAATGAGTTCGATAACCCACTATTTATTTAATTACATTAGAATTAGTGATAACCTACTAAACGAATATTATTTTTAATAGTAGTAGTAAATTTCTGTTTCAGCACAAATGAAACTGTAATACAACAAAAAAAAATACGTATTTCTAGGTAGAACATTAGATATTTACTGAATAATCCAACTTGCTGAAAACACATTATCTTTGATAAATTAGTGAATATCTTTCGACTACACCACTAAAACTTTTGTGAAAATGAACTGTACGAAAACCATTGTAGAAAAATCAATACATATATTAATTAGAAAACCATTTTAAAACGTGGAACGAAATAATGTTCTTCAAGTAAAAATATTTTTTTTAAAACTTAATTAGTTAATCATTAAACAAAATAATGTGCACGAATTATGAGGATTAACCCGTTTCGTTCGTCCACCACCAGTTGGGAACGCGCGGCCTTTTGAAAAATTAGAGAAGTATGTAAAATTATGAAAAATGTAAATAAATTCAACATTTGTATTATAGTTTTACTTAAATAATTAGTTTTCCTAAATATTAAGTACTTTAAAATCCTAAGTTTTTGCAAATAAAAATATTATCATAAATAATCATGTTTATCTTTTTTATTTCGGAAGGATACGAAACGAATAGTTTACAAGCAAAATAGTTAACGAAAATTATATTGGAAATATTTAGCGTTTCATTAGTTTCTACTTACGAATAATATAGCCATATAGGTAAAATTATATATATAATTAAGTAATACGCATAAAAAAGACAACAACTATAAATTATATTATTCAAAGCTCCGCCCATTCTGGAAAGAACAGCCCCTTAGACAATATTCTGGACACCACATGGCAACAAACTTGAAATATTCAGAGCGACAATGACGTCAGTACAGAAGATGGCGTGCTTCTACTGCTATTCAAAAATCTAGATAAGCACTGGACTGTAGTATTGATACGTGGTAGTACTAACTTTAGAGATAGTTATTTAATTGAGAATATTAGGATAAAGTCGTAGCCAATGTTTAAGTTGTTTTTCGCGCACGTAGGAGTTTATCAAGATGGTTTCTGCAGTTATTTCCCGCCTTGTTATGTAAGTCAACTTAGGCCTATTCATTGTTCTAACTTCTAGTGTTCCAGAACTTCTAAGTTTTAGGTTTTATTAATCTGAAACTTAAGTAAGACTTAGTTTTCATTTTTCAGAGTAGCGATTAACGCTTAATACAGTAATGCATTTTTTTAAAACTTTATGTCTAGATTCGAATTGTGGACTAGGTATTAACTATTATTCATTTTATTCACATTCCAATGATAAACTAAGTAATGCATTGCCATTAGTAATGGGGCCAGTCTAAAACTTAAAAGTAAAACAACGTAGTTTGATATAAGTTAATGTATTTAAATTTCGAACAATCTACATACCAACTTTGCAATATTATATAAAACATTGAACAAATATAACACTAATGTTGAGCGATATGTAATAACCCACTGAATGTGAACTACGCTTATCGTGGTAAACACCTAACTTGGCTTAGTTAGTGTGCCTAATTTTATAACTATCATGTTAACCTATACATATAAACCACAGTGTGATCTGTGTGTAACATGGGAAATGTGTATTGCGATTAAATGTACTTCAACTGACATAAAAACTATTTAATAAAAATCTTGAATGTGTAGTCATACATATACTGGTAGACCACGGCTGTCCACAGGGACTCGTGCGGCTTCGGCATCCTGTGTTGGTATTAATCAAAATGTTTCTATTTATTTTAATAGTTAATAAAGAAATGGCTTGATATACTGCAGTTCATCAGTAGTTGAACCATTATTATAGGACAAGTTTACACTTATCACCAAATATGTTGGTTTCGTAACTTATAAATCAAGATGTATGTATAATGCGATTGTTGTATTGTTACATAGTTGTTTTTATATAATATAAGTGCTTGTCTTGAGATGCTCCAAGTTTGTAAGCAGGTGAGTTGAGTTTAAACACATTAAGCATTTTGGATATTGTGTTTTATATATTGTTTATCATGATTCTTGGAATGTGAAGTTTGTATGTGAATGGTTTGATTTAAGCACATTAAGCTGTGTTAAGTATTTTCTACATTACATATTGTAGACTGTCCTGACTAATGTATGACTGATTATATTTTATGAAAACGTTTTTCCAGTAATAACACTAATACTTTTGTAAGACAACAGCATTTCTTCAAATAAGGAAAAAAATAAAAAATTACATTTCAGTGACACAATTTAAAAAAAATACTAAAAACCAATCGCACTACATAAATAAATCTACTTAGGTTAACATTAGTTTTTTTATTATTAGGCCTATTTTATGGTAGTGTACTTCCAGTGTTCTATAATATTTAAAGCTTTAACTTTAGGGCAAGCCTAGAAGGCTTAAAGGGCTCTGTAATAACATTTTTTGTAGGGTCTACCTAATCACTAAAAAATACAAAAACACTTTCAAAACCAAAAAACAAACAAAAACAATTTCATAGGTAGAATTTATAAAATAAATCTCTTTAGAGTAAATATGAGTGTTTTGGTATGAAACTTGATTATTTTTATAGGTGTTATTTATTGAATCTCAAAGAGGTGTTTATTAAACCATTACAGGAAAGACATGCTAATAGCATTGGCTCTGTATGTAATGGATAGGTACAAAATAGTAAATTAATAAATGAACAAATAAAAAAAGAGATGCATAGTTCATGTGGAAGGTCTTAAAAATAGTTTTTGTTTCATGTTAAGTACTTTAAATGTATTCAACTTTCAAGTCATGCAACAAGGAGGGGCTTTTTATCGTGTCCCACCCCAAAAAATTGATTAAAGTTTTTAAATAGAAACCCATTTTCTGGTAACTTACATTCTCTGTAATATTATTTCTCAAGTCGATTCAAGTAATTTTTTAAGCTGAAATATATAAGAATAAAAAGAGGTTAATATCTCGTGAGACAAAATATAGAAAATGGCATCCATGGAATCCCATTCTGTTAAATTTTGGATGAACAGTGGCTTCCAAAGTTTTGTTGGCATCCCACATCTGTGTTCAAACTCAAGAAACACATCTTTGCAGCAGTAAAATCATAAAAATGTTTATTTAATGTGGTAATTTGTTTTTCTTTTGCAACTGCAAGAAAAGTAGCAGAAGTGTTACACAGTATAGAGTGAATTAAGATAGAGGGGGGGGGGATCTCAAAGTTGATAATGATAGATATATGGAATCCAAAGAAAAACTATTTCTGTCCTACATGCTGTTTCTAGTGTGTTGGAGTAAAAAATACTAAATCCTCTACAAGTGTGTAGAGATGCTGTTCAAAGTTAGAAACAAGTTGAGGCTAAAAGATAAAACTTGAATATTCCCTTACATGCTATATGTATGTACTGCTGATATAGTTTGAATCTGTTATTTCTGCTTAGTTAGATTTTTGTAAGTTAAAAATGTTTCACTTAAATGTATCTATATAAATATAAACAACCTGAATTTTATATATATATCTTTAAAGGAGAGATAAAACTTGTACAGAATGTAAAGGAATCCTACAGACATTAGAAAAGTTCCAGTTGTAGTGTGTCATGCAGAAATCTGGTTTACTGACCAGGCTGAAGAGAATCCTTCTTATGAAAACTGGTTCACTCTTGTTACATGTACTTTGTTCTGACCTAATTCAGGTCACCACTAAACTATCTGGAACATTAGTGTGATATTCGTCTTGAGATGTTGTTTTAGAGCTACATACAAATCACCTAATCTGTGATTAGTTTATGTTACTTATTTTTAAAGAAAAAAACAATTATGAATGGTCCAAAGTGATAATTTGAAAATAGTTCGAAGAAAGATATATTACTCCATGTCTGTATAAACTGTTGAACCAATAGAAGGCATGTGTAAGATGTTTTAACTGGGTCTTTTGGTTAAAGTAACTAATTTCACACTGGACCAATAGAAGGCATGTGTAATGTTAGTATAGTGATAGATCAAGATCT